TAAGTAGAAGTTCCAACGAATTAAATCCAAATCCCAACAAGATATTTCAGATCAAAATCCTCCAAACTGTGCTCTTCAGTTCTCTCTTGCAAATAGACACTTTGTTCCGGACAAAGTGCAAAGTCATATCTCTCCCTTTATAGAGTAACTAATTAGTCTAATTGCTGGTCTGCTCTCCTACTGTATCCTCGTTGGTTCCTCCTTGTCAGGAGACGTCTTGTCCTGACATCTACCCAGCAATCATCCAAATTATCATCTTCTTCACCTGAAGATAACATTTGTTCCTCATTATCACCCGTTCCCGGCTGACCACCTAATTGAAGGGTGGAGGAGTTTGAAGGTTCAAGCCGATCTTGCAAATCAAATGCATTCATCTCCTCCTCATCGTTAGAACTTGCTGATTCATATAAGTCCTCCTCGCTGGAGCTGTCATTCAAAAAACCTGTAGCAGATGCCGGAATCACAACATCTATATATATAGTTTAAATACAGTAATTATTATTAATAGTGATTTGTATTTATTTAGTAACATAACAATACATTAGCAATGAAGTATGTTTAGATGTAACTTAGATATTTATTACTAGAGAATAAACCCAACATAACCCAATGGGAATTCCTCTATAAGCAACATACACACACTCACAGTTTTTAATCTTGCATTTATTATTATTTTAAATAACTCAAGGTGGCACTTAACCACTAGATTACTACTCCATTTGTGTCAGATGCTCCTACCAAAATGCTTCCAGGTTGAAAGGATTAGATCAAACACTGCAACAATTACTGTACTCTAAATCCTCTATTTCAACAATTATGGACAGGGATAGCCTGCCTCACTGCCTGCTTGTATGTGCTGCCAGATTATGCGAGAAATAAATAAAATAAAAATGAAGCAATTCATATAAAGTATACTGCTTGATCAGCACTCTGGGAGAGCAAAGCTGCAGATCTAGCTGTATACACAAATACTTGGCACACAGAAGTGGGGGGGTGGGGGGAAGAAAGGTTGCTGGCAGGATTTTCCCTCTTAACCAAAATCTCTCTGTTGATGCACTTAAGGGATGAATGAGAAAAGCTAAGTGTTCCAGGAGTTAAAATTGCTGTTTCATTAAATCAGTATCAAATTGAGGTGCTTCTATAGATACATCTGTATATTGCTGTCATCCAGTTGATAAACTCTAAAGCAGCTGAAATGTATTTATTTACTTATTTATTTAAATAGCAAGAGCTTAAGTAAATATCAATACAGTAGTACATGAATGAGCTTCTGCTCTCCTAATAATTCAGCATTCCTTCTATTTAGCACACATTTTGCTTTCTTTTTTTTAGTACAAGCATTACCAATAGAAGACCAATCCATAAATAAAGTTAAATTAACACAGCCAGTGGTTTTAAAATTTCTGTGAAGCTTCTATTGCTACAAATTTCATTATGTTTCCAAGTACATTTTTACAAAAAAAATTATTAAAGTAGCCCAATTTTCTACAAGTTTTTGTAGAATGTGTTGCATAATCTCAATTTACTTCATCCTATTATGCTAAGAAAAAGAATATCCATCTGTTTGGGTTTTTTTCCTAATGAAGGTGGGGTTTTTTTGGTTAAAATTTTATTTGAAATCTGAACTATAAATTGGACGGGGCCATGTCCGAAGCTCTTGATTGGGTGGTCTCTGGATATCTACCAAACTTCCAGTAAGCTATAACTCAGGAACTGTCACTATCAAAATAGATATTCTCTGAGGCAGTTCATTCAATGGTATTTTTTAATCTCATGATGCACTACTTTTTCAAGCAAGGTCTTGGCATCCATCTTTAAAAGCAAAAATTGGAGACTTCTTGTTGTAAAACCTTTTAAGGTTACATAAGTTATTTGGTTAGTTATGTTGATCATAACTTTTAATTGACAAGTTGTCAAAATTATTTATTGAAATTCTTATACATTGCTTTATTATTTCCTGTTTTTAATGGTTATAATTTACTCTAAACTATCCCTAGGATACTGAACTGAAAAGGCAAAGTAAACATTTAAAACTCAGGAAGTCTCTATATAAGGCACATCAAAACAGAAACTTAATAGGATGCACATTTAAAAAAACAATTCAAAAGAACAAGTTACATGAGAAAAATTACATAACAGTCATGCAGGATCATGACAACTAGAAATTCCCTATCAATGTAACTAATCTTTTAGGCAAAGTCACTTCAATATACCTGCTTTTACTGTCGCATGTTAATGTAATGTTAGTTCAGATTATAAATAAGAGAACTAAACTAAGGCCTTTCCAGACACCAAAGCACTAACCAGATCACCTTTAGAACAAGTTTCAATCTGATTATAGGGCATTTGGATGGGAAAGATAGAAAATGGTTTACAAAATTTTTCAAGGTTGTTACGTATCTTCTAAGAAAACATCTTGGCAGAATGGTCTGCCCTGCGCAGTAAATTAGAGGGTGGTTTATGATTATTTGAAACCAATAAATATTTCTCAAAAGAATTCTCTACTTTCTTAACTCTAATGATGAACATGCACTCCAAGAGCATTTTCTGGATTTCAAAACAAACATAAATTATCCACCATTATCACTATCTCCTTTTGAACAATAGATATTTTAAATAGGTATAAACATACATAATAAAATAAGAAGGGATAATTTAGGCACTGACTCATCCTCTGCTCAATGCAGGAATACAAAAGCATCCTTAACAGATGGCTGTCTGGCTGCTGTTGGAACTCATCTAATAAAAGGGAAACCACCATATCACTGGGAAACTGGCTCTACCATCAAACTACTCTTACTGTTACAAAAGGTTCAGTTGCCCTCTGCCTTATTGAAACTTTAATCTATTCATTGCCTGAACTCCAAAATGACAGAGAACAGATCTTCGCCTTCTTTCATGTGACATCATTTCAAGCATAATATCTTCCCCCGTCTCCTAAATTTTCCGAAATTCAAATACATATGATGTTCAGAACCAGACACAATATTTTAGATGGGGGTCTGATCAAAGCAGAATAAAGTGGAACTTTACAAGAACTAGTTTTTAAAAAATAAATAAAAGTATTTCTATTTAAGTAATGTTTTTAATGAAAATGAACAAACTAATAAAAGCATCCTGAAATGCAGAGGAAGGACTAATACATATGCACGCATGTATGTATGCATGTATGTTATAAACTGATTTTGTTGATGTGCTACAGCTTATCAATAATAGTATATAATAATCCAGAGAAAAGCTCAGGTCTGTTTTATTTTTTAAAAAGCCTACAGAAATATTTAATTAGTTGATTTTATTAATGCTGGAACACAAAGCTTATCTTCCAAAAACCAGAAGAAACAGTTCAAGGTTCATAAAACAATTTAACAATAACAAATGGCACAATGTTATTATAAAAAAATACTCAATTTGTGAAAAATAATCTTACTGACTCTAAGATACTGATTAGCAAAACAGTTATAAAAGTTTTAAAGAGCATTTGTCATGGCAGATGGCCAATACTATCCTCTCGCTCATTATTATTTAAATGGAAAAACACACACATTTTACTTAGCAATTTTGCAAGTATAATCCTAAGCACAATAATAACATTATGATTATAGCATAGTAAATACAATTCTCTTCCTATGCTTCATTTGGACGCAGTTTGAATAGCAAACATGTATCCACCCAATTGTGTGATCTTCAGATGGATTGAATTATAGTTCCTAGTACTTCTAGTAGCCATGATCAATTATCATATTGACTGGTTATGAGAAAAATTCTGGTTTGTATAATTTGAGTGCCAGGTTAAAAGGTGGTGAGTTTAGGTTTAGAATACAATTACAGTGAAAGGAATGATAGTGATGAGACTAATATGGAATCCTGAGAGCATATATTAGCACTTGCATTATATAACTGCTGTTAGAAAAGCAAGATTGTTCCTAAAATTACTGCTCTGGTTACTGGCTGTTCTCTATTTCTCCAGCTTATCTGCAAGCAAAACATCAAGCTATGACATCCATCATTTTTATTTTCTAAGGATGCATTTGTTGCTTATCTTTCTTTTTAAATAAAGATAATACTTGGACTTGATACTTTGCCTTATAAACTGTCCAACTTTCTTTTTTTTTCAATTAAAAAGATTTCTTAATTGGTCAAAGATAGAAGAGGGCTTGGCAAGAACAGTTTCTGCAGTGACTTTGGCATCTACAATTATCAGTCTACATAACAGAGAATGCCTCTGCAAACATAAACTCTTGTTTATAGAAAGCTAGAAATAGGACTACAAACTATAGTCTTTTTTCAAAAATCCAGGTAGTTTTTGTGTGAATTGTAAGTACCATCAGAAAAAAATGGTCACTGACTGAACCTATCTAACAGTTATAAGTCTCCATCTAGAAGCACTGTCCATTAGTAATATGAGAACAGATTCAGCCCACCCACTGCATATTCTCTGTATGCTTACCGACTTCAAATGATATTTCTATTTCCACATTCCCTTTAAAGTTCCATCATCTGCATATGGCATGTGGCCTTAGAAGATAGAGATTCAAGAATATTGCACATATGCAAATATTGATAATGAAAATTACAAAATCTTTGTTACAGAGGAAAAATATTGAGCTGATTAAGAAATGAAAAGCAATAACCTTTTCTCAGTCACATTGCCAGTACTAGAATTGGAAGAAAAGGCTATCTTTTTTTTTAAAGCACTAAGACTATTTTTTTTTCTATACAAATAAAGAAGAAACCATCTTTTTCTCATCTCTATTTAACAAACAGAATCAAACTGTTTCTCACAAAACTTTTGAAGGCCACAGATGCAGAATGTAGCACCTTCCCCTGGAAATTCTGTTTCCATAAACTATTAGCAAAAATTAGTGTATGCTTCATAAAAAGTTCATGGCAGATTATGTGAAGTTAATAAAAAATAATTACTGTACCTCACAGTGAAATCGTAGGAACAAGAAACCAATATAGTGGGATGAAATGGTGAAAACTGCAAAAGAAATAAGAGAAACACAATACATAAGTCTCAATACATAGTTGTGGGGGTGGAGGAAAGGGAGAAAAATATTTAGAAAGAAAAATTCTTCTGTAAAATAACAGTATTAGAGAGAACCAAATGAAAATATTATTTTGTATAAAAATCAACATAAAGTTGCTTTGGTGTAGCATCCATAATCCCTGCAATAAATTAAAATTTCAATTTAATATAAAATACCTTACAGATCCATCACCTAACGATGTTATGGTGTGTGTCTCTAAGATACAGATTGACCATAAATTCTCAAATCACCAAAAATGCAATTAAAAATCCAAACTATTGAAATATTTAAAACACTTTTAAAACGTATCGCAGCAATGATATATACCTATGAAAATTTGTATGATTTCACAAAACACTTATGAGATATTATGTCTTCTATTGTTAACACCAAGGCAGGAATTCTTTTTAATTACCAAAATAACTTAATCTGGATTCAATTTAACTTAATCAATTGGATTCAAGGATGAAAACTGGCAACAGAAGTTCTTATAATTTCACCCATTACAAAGAGTAGATTATTAATCATAGCCCTTGGCACGAACCGAAAAACTGAACAAAAGTTGCAGCAAAGATGGAGACCAAGAGCCAAACTCTACTACACTCATAGCTGATTTCAGCAACATTCACTTTAAACCAATCTTTTTCAAGCACATTCATAAAAAAGAGCAATTTTCCTCAGAAAGATTTATAGTACTAAACATCTCTTTATTTTTCCCGCCTTAAATGCTGAAACAGCAAGAATGTCTAACAGAAATCTGAAATAAGTTTCACGTTTCAAATTCTGAATACTTTCTGAATGTTTGCAAGTCTGTTTTACAATTAAAACAGCTGCTGAAATAGAACATTTCACATTCAATATGGTTTAGAATCAAGTTAGTTTGCACAGCCTTCATTTACCAATTAATGGCTTGGATTAGGAGAGGGGTAGGATGTATAATATCTTCACACTTTACAGTTTATTGTAACTCAGGTAATCTGGATGTCCAAACTCTACAATGGGCAACCGGACTCCTAGCTTTAGTATGGTGAAGGATTGTTGGTAAGCAGTTTTCAAGCTAGCGCTTACTAATTTGGTTTCAAAACAATACTTAACTAGCTTGCTAACAAAATATAGGGTACAGGTAATCCTTGTCTTACCACCACTTTTTTCATACTTATGACTATTGCAGCATCCCCATGGTCATGTGATCAAAATTCAAATGCTTGGCAACTGGCATGTATTTATGACAGTCCCACTGCCCTGGGGTCAGTCATGTGATTATCTTTTGCAACCTTCTGACAAGCAAAGTGATTGGGGAAGCCAGACTTAATAACTGTGTTACTAACTTAACATTGTTATTTAACTGATTTACTTAACAATTGTGGAAAGGTCGTAAAATGGGGCAAAACTCATTAACAACTTAACTTTGGGCTCAAGTGTGATCATAAATCAAGGACTACCTGTACTTCCTCAAATGGTTTACTGACATTATGACATGACTATTCCCACTGTCAATAGGAACAAGTTTGGTATAGTGGTTAAGGCTAAGGAGCCTGTGAGTTCTATTTCTCCCTTAGGCTTGAAGCCAGCTAAGTAACCTTGTGCAACATTCTCTCAGACCTAGGAAGCAAGCAATAGTGGAAGCACTTCCAAAAACCCTTGCCAAGAAAACTTGACCAGGCAGTCTCCAGGAGTTAACCTTGATTCAAAGGCAATAAATAAAATAAAAAATAATAATTGTCTATTTAAAAAAATTAACCAGTAAAAGATGAACAATGACTTTTCCTGACTATTTTACTGCCATCATCATCTTAGTATACTATACAATTGTTGTACATATTTCTTAAAATCTACCCTGCTGCTCAGGTTTTACCTGATTTTAACATTTATTACTTCTGATATTATTATTTTGTATTTATCTTCTTTACTGACATTATCATTTTGTATGTTGCCTTAGAATTCAATCTGGTGAAGGATGGTCTATAAATATTTTATAATGTAAAACCCACACAACAGAAGAAGGAGACAGGGCCTGCTGAACACAAATGTGGAGCTCATCAAACGCTCTGCTGGGTTTTGTGGACTGCCTGTTTTCATAACCATTTAGAAATGTAATAATCAGAAAAATATTAAAACTTACTTTCACTCTTCTTATTGCATATGTATGCCCAAGCAGACTGAACATAGGTTGGCGGGTATTTCTCAGGTCCCAGCCTTTCAAAGTGCAGTCAACAGCACCTGTTACAAGCAAGTTCTGATAAAAAAAAATGCACAAAGAGTTTTATTCTAAGAATACCAACAGCTCTCAAATTGTAAACCTAAACAACAGCGGCTAACAGAAATTTCAATATGAGAAAAACTTTGGATTGCCAGAGATCCAAAGATAAATTAAAATTGGGATTTCAGGGTGACTTTGGATCAGCTACTATCTGATAGCTCAGCTTATTTCAATGTTACTACACTGTTACTACTACACTGAGAATAAATTAAGGAAAGATACAATATAAAGATAGGTATAAAGCTGTCAGTATTATTAAAATCAATTGCAAATGGAGAACAATCATAATCTGAAGCAATCTAAATCCTAAAATAATAAAAGCAGCTTCTCCGCTGTTTAAAAATGCACTATTTATATTTATTGTACCTGATCATATTTGCACCAATCACAACTTAAAACCTCAGCTTGGTGAGCAGGAATTATCACTGGGAGTCCTGGTGATTTTGCATCCCAAATCCGTAGAGTTTGGTCACCTGAAACAGACACATTAATAAATGAAACTTTATATAATATTTATACATTGTTTAGAAAGGATGGAGAGATAGTTAACATATTTATTTAGAAAGGCTGTTTAGTTCATCAAACTGGTCACTTCATGAATGAAAAAGCACTGAACCCTAAAGGAAGAAGTTTAACATGTACATTTTAAAGAGGAATTAGTGCTATTAGCCATGTGAAGAAACTGATATTTTTTATTATTTTTGTTGAAATTTTAAAGAAATTTAATTGCGATTATGGATCACTATATAGCTATACATATGCTAGAAAAGATAACTGTATCAGGTATACAGTATATAATTCTGTGGAAAATATGCTATGAAAAATGAAAGTGAAATAAACCATAAATTGAGTAAAATCATGTTAGGAAATTCAAGCATGGCCAGTTATCCAATTTTCAAGACTGATGTCGTACTTTGAAGATAGGCCAAGCCAGAAAAAATATTCCTCAAAAAATACTAATCTCTGCTTTATTGGTATAGGTCATAAGTTTCATAATTTCAGGGTGCTTCTGGACTCATGGCTCCTTGTTTGTCAAGACACTGTGAAAAACAAAGTGACTGAAAACATGTCTAAAGCAGTTGTGGCAAAAAAAGGAGGATATCGTTGAATACTTGTAAGAGCTTAAATAGTACCGACAAGCATAGCAAATCAGCAATTAGTCTCTACATTTATTGCATCTTTAATTCCCACATGATGGCCTGCACAGCCTTTCAGGTAGGGATAGCAGACCAAAGTCCTACAAACGTAAAAAAATGAATTTGAGGGTTTCCTGTCAGATGAACTCAATCATATCTGCCCTAAGTTTGGGTGCCAGTTGATCATGGCACTTGGTGGAGAAACCAAGCACCATTTTGTGGCATAACTTTGGATACTTTTGAACATTTAGAAGTATCCTAGGAAGTGGATACTTGAACTCTGCTACCTGCAGATTCTATCCATGCCTCCTTCCCTCTCCCTTCAGTCAAATAGATAGGGTGTGAACAGCTGAATCCATGAGGTCATTAACACTTTTTGTGGGTATCATGGGATATGGAATAAATTCTATCAATGGTGGGAACGGAAAGGAAGGAACCAGAATAAAAACTAATCAGGATTTGTAGAATGGACAATTGAGGTTATGTATATAATTATAATTAAATATGATGGATAATACGATGGATATAAAACTAATAGCACAGAAAACAATATAAATGTATATACTGGATAACTGTATAAATGTATAAAAATATATAAGATATATATCGTATACTTTAGTATGTATGGCAAAAATGTTGCCAGGACGGTCACACTGTGTCCAATATTTTAATGGGTAACCAATAGAAAAATTAAAAATTAAAAAAAAATTGTGAAGAAGTATTAATGCTGCCAGTTTTGAAAGGAGCAATAATCTGCAGCTCTTTAAGGTGTGATCACTAGATCAGGCTCAGTTTGATGACTTTTTCCCTGTCCCCAATTTTTCCATTCTGGACATCTCACTCCAAGTATCTTGGTAGCATCACAGACTGTCTGGAAGGATATTCACCATCAAAAATTGAACATAAGTAACTCTGCCAACTTTCCATCCCCTCTTCTGTTTTCAGAATCGACAGGTATGGACATCTTGGCATCTAGGAAGGAATCTAAATCTGAGGGACTTTTATTCAAGCTCTTTATCAATATAGCCACTTAAATTTGTAACTTTCATTTTTAATGAGCACTTAATAGAATCTGCCGGTTCACAGCTGAGGTGGCAAAGCAGCTGATTTGTACACTGATCAGCTCCCATCTGGAATAATGCAGCAGTCTGCTGGATGGATTACTCAATTCCACTCTCTGGCTTCTGATCTAGTTTGTTCTCTGTGTTGCTATTTGGGTTGTTCCAGATGTCCTCCAAACCAGGGGTCGCCAACCTTTTGGATCTCAGGGACCACCAAACTCATACTTTTAAATCCCGAGGACCACTAATACGATTTTTTTAAGCTAATATATTTAATATAATTTTTAAATGTTAAATAAGAACCTCAGAAAACATATATATATATATATATATATATATATATATATATATATATATATACACATACATACATATATATATGCATACACACACACACACACTTACTTATTTAATTATAACAAAAATATAAATGCTTAATGATAATAAAATAAAACGTTCTTGGAAGCCTCCCCCTACCTGGCACCTTCCAAAGAGACAGAAGAGTGGGCGGTGTGTGTGTGTCTGAGCTGAGGGGCCTCAGGGCAACTGCCGCTGGGAGAAGCAGAGGCAGAAAGGGGGCTTTGCTCTCCTTGGGGGGCAGCACCCCTTGGCTGCCATTCCAGGGGCCTGCAGAAGGACTGCCGCTCTTGGTGATTAATTGGGGTTGGGGTGGGGAGAGAAAGCATCTCTCGCATTACCAGGGAAGGAAAGGAGACGAAAGAAAGCTCACTCTTTCACTGAGACCTACAAAACGCCAATCTACCATGTTCCAGGAGTTCTTCGAAATCATAAAACTTGCAGTTCCCGTGCCTCCCGGCTCAGGTCCCTGAGATGCACGCTCCCACACACGGCGGCGGCAACGTGCAGGCAGAAAGGAAAGGGAGATGGAGCCGTGCACAGCTCTCCCCTTTTCCAGCCCTTACTGCCTCTCCCAACATCGAAGCCTCGGAAACGCAGGCAAAGCCGCCACAGCAGTAGCGCCCTGAGTTGCTTGCTTCTCCACTACTGCCTTCTCCTCCTCCAGCACCACTTCCTTCTCTGGGTAGGGCGATTCTTAACTAACCGAGCATGCTAAGGCAACTCAGGACGCTACCGCTGTGGCTGCTTTGCCTGTGTTTCCGAGGCTTCTATGTTGGGAGAAGCAGCAAGGGCTGGAAAAGGGGAGAGCTGTGCACGGCTGCGTCTCCCTTTCCTTTCCTGCCTGCACGTGGGCAGGGGGGAGGAACGAGAGAGAGCCGGGAGCAATTCAAAGCTAGAGAACTAACGGGGAACAGCTGACAGCAGGCGCTGGGCAAGGGGATTGCTGTTGCCGCCGTTGCCGCCGCTGCCACCGGTGTAGGAACTGGTTGGCGCATGCATCTCAGGGGCCTGACTCCGGGGTCCCTCAGAGAGCCGGGAGGCGCAAAAACTGCGTGGCCCAGATTAATTGCTTTTGGGGGCCATTTCTTCTGCGGCCCACCAAATTTTTTCCGCGGCCCACCAGTTGGCATCCGCTGCTCCAAACTACCTTTACTTCTCCTTGTGCCCATCCCTACACACTTGTGAAAAATAACAGTTTAACTTACTAATTTTAACTCACCAGCCCTTACACACAGGAGCAAAAAAAAAAGCTCATGTTGAGAGTTGACAATTACTTCTCTGTACCGAATTAGTTACAGTGTGGCTGGGAGCTTTTTCATCTAGTATTTTTTGGAACCATGTTCCACTGGTATTATGCCTATATTATAATTTATTAAAAATGTAAAAGGTACTTATATTTTATGGGAATTTAAATCTGGTTTCATTTTCAACTCTTCATTAATTCTGATAGCCAATGATGGTTTTATTGAATCTGTACATTTTAAGCCATGATATCAAACTGAAATGTACTATGATACAAATTTATTGACTGTCGTTTATCATTCTGTACTGAATCTAACAAAAAGCAAATGAAAACTCAAGCAACTACCAAAATTCAAACAATTTCTTCTACAATACTGAGGTGTATTTAAAAAGAAGATTAATACTTTAGTAGAAAAGTATTTGAAAAATGGGTTTTTGGAGACCTGGATGAAGGAACACTGGAGAGCAAATTGCGAATAGTGGCAAAGAATATTATTTTTCCAGTTTATTATTAATCCAGTGTGGGAATAAACATCAATTAAAAGAATAGGTATACTGTACATATTTTAGGAACCCCTACTGGGAAAAAAAGATTTTGTTCTGGTTTTGCTTGTTGAAGAAAGTCATATGCATCAGAACCTCTGCCAGTGTTTACAGAAGCTGTCCTGGCAGGAGACTATATAACAGGTTAACAGAGTTGCAAGGGACCTTAGAGATACGACAATGCCAACCAAAACAACAGCTTTTCACTGGCAGGCAAAACCAAGTAGAAGACCTCATTTGTTATATTGATCACAGAAAAAGATGGTTTTATCAGGAAGCCTAGAAAATTCTAATGACATTATTTGTTTTCATATGAATGATGTTGATATGGCATTGTTTGCATTGGCATCTAAAAAAAACAAAAACAAAAGGAAAATGCTAGATATAGTAGCGTGGTTATAAATTACTGTAAACCACTGATTGATAAATTACGGGTTTCTTGTTCTATGAAATTTCTGGGCAGCAGTTGATTCCATTTGCAATTTTGACCTTTTCTCTGTACATCTATTTTTTATTGTCCCAATTTGAGGGAAAGAGAGAGAATGCCCCATCAAATCAGCTCTAGCATATCAGCTAGCTACCAAAACAGCTGCTAACATCTGCCATAAAAAAATTATGCTTGGAAATAGTTGGGGCATGTTGGCCAGGGATGAGCAAATAATTTTCCCAAAGGGCCACATGAGAAACTGGGACTGTTGTGGAGGGCTGAACCAATGTAACCTGATTTGATGCCTTCAAACTCTGTCACCTCAACTCCTCAGCTGCTCCAGGCAAGGGGCAAGAGTTGTGAAGGCTCAGAAAAGTGCTTTCTCTTCTCATCCTCCCTGTGGCTACCAGCCAAGTGAAGCAAAACAGGGTAACTGCACAGAAGCAGACCCAACTTGGCTTCTTCTCCTGCCCACTATGGTGTGCTTATTTACATTTGATTTCTAATTTTTGACTGACCTTATGTGGGCTACACAGAGACAGTGAAAGAGCTGGATGTGCCCAGAGGCTGTAAAATGCCCAGTTTGATGTAGGCCTATGTATTTGGAATATGTGCAACTATGTAACTCTGTTCTTTTATGATCAGGAAATATTTAATAATAAACTATTGCACAGAATACTATATCTATCATATACTGAAATCTC